TTTAATAAAGGGAATTAATTGCTTTAAATTTTAATAAAAAGAAGTAAAAGCTATAAATAGCAAAATTATATTAAAAGCTAAGGTTTTTTAAATTTCTTAAATAATAAATATTTTTTAAGTATTTATTATTTTTAGCTTTTAAGATTAAAGTTATTAAATATAAAATTTAAAAAGTTTATATATATTAACTGCTTTATATAATTTCTTTTCTTATTATAAAGAATACTTATTATATATAAGTAATACTTTTAAGTTAGCATATTATTTATTAATGCTTTCTTTAATATTAACTTCTTTTTTTTAAAGGAATTTCTTAAAGTTTTAAATAATAATTAACTTTTTAAATATTATTATATTTTAAAAAGCAAAGTTTTTTATAAAGCATTAAAGTAAATTATTATTTATATTTTAATATCTTATTATTTCCTTTATAAACTTAAAAATAGCAATATTTACTTAATTAATTATATTATTTACTTTTATTATTAATTTATTTTAATAATTAAAATTAACTTATTAACTTTAAAACCTTTTATTAAGGTTAAAAAGTAATTAAAGTTTTTATATAAAAGCATTATTAATATTTAAGGGTATTTCTTTAGCATTGCTATTAAATTTAGCTATTTTACTAAGCTATTAAAATATTTAAATAATTTATATATATAAAAAAAAAAGGTAATTAAGAGAATATAATAAGGTTATTTTAAAGTATAAAAAGAAAATATTAATTATATAATAAAAAAGTATTTATTAAAAAGTGTTTATTAACTTAAATAAATATAAGTTATTATTTATATTAAACTAAAGTAATTATAAGCATTTTTAGCATTAACTATATAATAAAATATGCTATATAATTAATAAATTTAAGGCATTATTAAAAACTTATTAATTAATAAATTAAATTTTTATAATAAAAAGATTAAGATATTATTAATTTCTTTTTATTAATTTTAATTATAATATAGCTATTAATACTTAATTAAATAAGGTTTTATTATTAATAATTGCCTATCTTTATAATATTAATATTAATTATTTAGTATAAATATTGCAATTTAATTATAATAATTCCTATTATTAATGATTATTGCTTAATTAATGGCAATATAAATTTATTGCTTATTTACTTTATTATTTATAATTATTTATAAGTAATTACTAATTAATATTAGCTAAATTAATATATATTAATTAATAGCAAACTAATTATATTTAAATTGGCTATATAAAAGAAAGGAGGGTTGCGGCTATAGGCTGTAAAACCTCCTTTTGGCTATAGATTATCTAGGGGTGGTTATGTGCTGCTGCATGTAACTCTTGCCTGCTGGTGCTTTAATGTTAATTGCCTATAGTATCCATAGTGCCTATCGTGCCCAATGCTGCTATCCCCTTATAATACGTCCATAACTACATTAAAGCTAATAAATAAATAAAAAGTTAATATTAATTAATATTAATTATTTTTAATTCCTTATTTTTAATTAATTTAATTAATTTAAAGTAATTAATTTAAAGTAATTAATTTAAAGTAATTAATATAAATATAATATAAGTTTAAAATAAGTAATTTTTAATAAAAAAACTTATATTTTATATTAAATAATATTAATTATATTATTAAAAATGCAATTTATTATAAATTATTAAAATAAATATATTTATATTATTTAATATTAATTAAGTTAAATTTATTATAATATAATTAAAATTTAATTAACTTAATTCTTTTTTATTTTTTTTATCAATTTTTATATTATATTTAATTTTATTATAATTATTATATTATTATTTAATTAATTTATTATAAATTGCTTTCTTAATATTATTATTTATTTTATTAATTAATTGCTTTTTTTTTTATATAAAAGTTTAAGATTTCTTAATAATAAGTACTTTTTTAAGCTATATTTAAGTTTTTTTAACTTTTTAATATTTAATAAATATTATATTAATATCTTTAAAAATATAAACTTAATCCTTTAAAATAATAAGTTTATATATTATTATTTATATATTTTTTACTATTTAATTAATAATTTTTATAATTAATATAAAAAAGCTTTTTTTATAAATAAAAGTTTTACTTTTAATAAAGCTTAATTACTTAATAATTTATTAAGTATTAAATAATATTTAAAACTTTAAATATTAAGAAAAAATAAAAAGGATTTATATAAAAGTTTATAAATATATATTAAGCTTAAAAATAATAAAATTTAAATCTTAAAATAAAATTTTAACTTTTTTAAATATTACTTTAATATTATTTTTTATAAAGATTTTATTATAAATTATTATAAATATAAAAGAATATTTAAACTTTATAATATAATTAATAAATATTTAAATAAAGAAATTAATTTAATTATTATATATATATTTTAAAAATAAATATAATATAATATTTAATAATTAAAATAAATAAAAAGAATATAATAATATATTAATAAAAATAATATTATTATCCTTATAATATTAATTAAACTTAGCTAATATATAATTCTTATAATTATTTAATATTAATATTTAATATATACTCTTTATTTATTACTTAATATGCTTATTAAAATATTAACTTTATTTTAAATTAATTTTATTATTTATTTATTTATTTAAAGTAAGTTTAATAATTTAATTATTTAAAAAACTTAACTTTATAGCTTAGCTTATAAAATAATAAATACCTTAAATAATTATAAATAATAAAATATATTAATTCTTTATATTAATATATTTAATAATTATAATTTATTTTTAATCATTAAGTTAAATTAATTTAATTTTTTTATATTTATTAATATATATAATTATTATTAATATAATAATTATACTTATTATAAAGTTAATTTTATTAAAATTATAAAAATTATTATTTATAATTTTATACTTAGTTATTATATTATAAAATAACTTAAATTAATTCTTAATAATTTTTAAATCTTTATAAAAAGCTTTTTATTAATAAAAAATAATTAAAACTTAATTTTAAAAGTAAATTATAAGTTTATAAAGCATTAAGCTTAATATTTATTAATAAGTTTAATATTATATAATATTAATAAAAAGTTAATTATATTTTTTATATTAAAAAGTTATAAAATTTTTTTTTTAAGCATTTTACTTAATAATATATTAAATAAGTATTTATTTTTTAATTTAATTAAATTTATATATATTAATATATAATTCTTTATAAAAGCATTATTAATTTATTTTATAATAAAATATAATTTTAAAAATATAAAAAATCTTAATAGCTTAAATTATAAGTAAGGGTTTTGTATTATTTTTTTTAAATTTTTAAATTACTTAAATAATTAAAAAGATTTTATTTTTTTAAATAAAAAATACATTAATAATTATTAATTTTTAATATATTAAATATTTAAGTAAGTAAATTAAAGCAAAATTAATATAAAAAATTAAAATATAATTAATATTAAAATAAAATCTTTTTATTAAAAGTTAATTATTTTAAAGTTTAATATAATTACTTTTAATTACTTTAAATTAATTAAATTAATTAAAAATAAGGAATTAAAAGCATTTAATATTAATTAATATTAACTTTTTATTTATTTATTAACCTTAAGGTAATGTTAATATTAATTAAAGTTGGGTAAAGTTGTAAAAATCCGCTACTTATTAATATTTGCTACTTATTAATAAACTATATTAGCTTTAATATGCTTTTAATATCTTTCTTTATTGCTTTTACTTTTAACGTTATAATAATATATAACCTTATAATTATATGCTTATATATTTTTTAAATATATAAATATCTTTGCAAACTTACTTTAATATTATTAATTTTTATTATTAAATATTAATTTAATTTATAATTAAGCTTATATTTCTTACTTATTAAATCACGTTATCCTTAGGGGCAAGTTTTACTTATTAAATAGCACTTTAACTTTTGCTTTAATCTTTGCGGCGCTTATCAACCACATTATATAGAAATGTCTTGCATTAGGCAAGGAAGCACTAGACTTCATTAATCCTCCCTTGTTCCAGCATCGTGGGGGCTTTAATGATATCAAGAATGGCTTGAATTCAAGGTGTAGGACAGATGATTTCAATGCTGTGTAGAGCCTGGGACCCGGTGATAGGGCTGGGCACGCCGAGCTATCCCAGGCTGTTGTTTTTAATAGTTAACCTGTAGCTTTCCATTCCCAGTGCGATTCTCAAAAAATTTGGCTGCACTCGCATGTTCAGGCTTCAGGGGTATGTATATAGGCTTGATCTCGCTAAATAGGGTGAATGAGTTCACAACTAATGGTGGACCTGTAAAAGGGGTGTAATTAGATCATCTGGAATCTCCACTCCAAGCCGTTGGTCGATAGCTTGGCCAGACATTGAGGTTATACAAAAAGTTTCGCGCCAGTCAGGCGCAAGTCCAGCATTCTTAATAACCTACATGAGAATAGGAAATAATAATGTGACGATTTAGTTTATACAGATTTCAGAGCACTTCAACTGGTTTTAATTCTTTCTAGGCAGCGAGGTTTTACTGCACATCGTTGGGTTTGCCTACCTAGGCCCTCCTGAAATTCTCCCCTTGCGTTCTTAACTTGACCAATTTGATACCATATGCACTTTGGATCCTGGTGAGATCTTTTCGATCTAGCAGTCATTTTTGTGAGCCGATCGTGATGTTCCGAGGTCAGGCGAGGAAGCCAAGATCTCAGTTGCACGAGATAAATGGTGGAGCGTCCCCTATATCAGACCCCACTCATTTGGCGGTGACTCCTGATCTCCTTCCATTCGCTGAACATACTTATACTTATCAACGTGTATGCTAGGATTTTAAAAGCTTTCCGGGGTGTAATCAGCATGAAACTAAGTCCGCGCGATACATCTAGCATTTGTTCTGCAAGGCTGGAGCGCGCAGTCTGTCGGAAATCACAGTTCATGAAGAGCCTTGTCTCAACAACAAAATTGAACTGAAGCTCTTCATCAATTCGATCTCTTGTCAACTAAACTCCTCCATGATGGCCCCCGGAGGCCGTTGCCTCCGCGTGGCAATGCTCAACGCCGACACATCAGTCCCAAATGTGTATGCTAATCTGGGCACATTTGGAGACATACTACACCGGAAATTGCTTGCTGCAGCGGATCCAACATACGATGGGTTATCTATCGTACACTCGGTCTATAATGTTGTGATCGGCGAGTATCCTGATTCGTTAGATGATCTGGACGCTATTTTTATTACCGCATCGGCGGCATCTTCGTACGACAGTGAAGCTTGGATCCAGAGGCTGGAGGAATACGTTGTGATGATTTACACGATGCATCCTGAGATCAAATTGTTCGGCAGCTGCTTTGGTCATCACATGATTTGCCAGGCTTTGCTGAAGGATCATGGGGTGCGCGTCGCGAAACGCCCGACCGGCTGGGAGATTGGGGTCATCGAAGTCGAGTTTACGGCAGAATTCAGAAAAGCCTTTACTCGTTTCACATCGTCAGCTGTTAGCGGAAGCCGTCTGCAACTACCCAACCGGCTACCGACCCCTGAGAGTGAGAGTGAGGATGACGGCAACAAGGCGCCCTGCTTTCTTGAGGGCGAGGGTTGCGTGGTACCCAAAAAGGCGTACTTGGAGTTCGTGCATGCCGATGAGGTTGTTCTACCTTCGCCAGACTTCTCGCTACCAGAGCCGTGGACGCTGTTGGGTTCCACGGAGCATTGCAAAGTTCCGGGGATCTATCAACCAGGGCGGGTGCTCACGCTGCAGGGGCATTTCGAGTTTGACACGTTCAAGAGCCAAGAGACTATGAGGATCTTCGGCGCCGATGAGGCTTCCAACCCGCAGCCAGATAATGGCCCTGAGGCCGGGGAAGCTTCGGGACCAGAGTACGAAAACGCTGAGGCCGTGGTGGACATCCTTGTCCGATTCCTGGCGGAAGGAATGGCTGTCAGTAGGCTGCGTGGTGAAAGATTTCTAGTACAATCCGATTTACCGACGCCATGAATATCGACGAAGACACATGGCGTGAGCTGGTCACGGATCACGAGTAGCATAGGACACGTTTCCAATACACTCCGAACAATCAAAATCCCCTCAAGCACCGCCTAAAGTGAGATTCTTAGTACGATAATCACGTCGTAGATGATACTATTTCATTGTTGACATCGACACGTACTTCCCAGGTCTTAGATAAGTACGAAAGCTAGCGACCTAGTTGATTCATAGAGATACTAGCATAGCCAAAGGCCCCAAGAGGTCTGGCTTGAACGGCCTCGGGGGAAGCAGCCGCCCCCTTGGCCCTCCAAGTTCTGGACTTCACGAAAGTATCCATCTCGTTGTCAACTGTGGGAAATCTTGTGACATATAGGTAATCTTCTGATCTAGCATGCGTTTTGCCCATTGCCGGTAAAGTTCCCAGGCTGGTATTCACCGCCGGCATCTCCAAGACACTCAGCTGTGCCACGGTTAGCATCCGAGGCGGCCTTGACTCAAGAACCACAAGTGTTTAGCTAGGACGATTGTACTTACCGACGGTGACAATCTTCAGATTGTTGGTCTTCGCCCAGTTGATAAGCCACGTGGTGAGCTCATTGGCAGTCGAGGAATACGTCTCATGCATCAGCGGGATGTGCCCGTTCCCGCCGGCACCAGCGGCCGTGAACTTGGCCTGGCTCTGGGCGGCTGACTGGCCATTCCAGTCGCCGGTGTCGATGTCATTGGTGATGATATTGTAGCCGAGGGTCCTCATCACGGAGGAGACGCTGCCGCTGGTCTCGAGGTACGGGGGCCGCATGTACCTGGGCTTCCTGCCGAAGATGTTGACAAAGGCCTGCTCCAGCTTGGTCATCTCCGTGGTGAGCTGCGATGATGACATGGAGCCGACGTGGCCGTGCGTCCAGGTGTGCGAGGCCACTTGATGTCCGCCCTCGTAAGCCGACTTGACTGCCGCTGCCTGGTTGTAGATGCACCCTTTATGAAGCAGTCAGAAATTTCCTGTAGGCAGCCCTTGCCTCAAGGTAAATGCACATACCGTAAAGCGTCCCAGTGAAGAAAAAAGTCCCTTTGGCTCCGGCCTGGTTCAGCTTATTCACCAGGCTCTGGGTATATTGATACGGGCCATCATCATATGCCAGAGCTAGAGTGTTCGGTGTGCTGCATCTTGTGTAGACGGTCCCAGGTGTCGGAGCTCGGTTGAAGATAGTAATCGGATCCGACACAGGAAGCGCACTTGCAAGTGCAAGGAGAGAGCTAAGGACAAGGCTGTAATGCATTGTGTTCTGCTTCTGGAATCCTAGGAGGTCTAATTCAAATGGCTAGGTCAATTCAGGTTTGCCAAGGTAGGTAGACACCGATTCAGAAAGATCTGGGGTTGGCCTTCTCATGTTATATACATCCTCCGGCCTCATCCTAACTGGTAATGTGTGCCGGAAGTTACTATCAGTCTTGGCTTCATTCGTATTTATATGGCCTCAAATTGACTATTCTCCACGAATTGTTAATTTGAAACTGCGTTGTAGTAGCCAGCCAAGCATGGGGCGTCCCCACTAGCGACTACAGCCGGTGACATTAACCTGCTAGAGTACGAATTTAGCCGCCACCAGCTTGCCTGCATTAAGGCTGTCATCGGAGACAAGGAAGCCTGTGCACACGCTTGGCAAACTGTTCCTTGCTCCGGTTGGCCCCGGGCGGGCTAATGACAGACACATCGAGTGACAGAGACAGCCTTCTACATGACGCCTCATGGCTAACGAATTGTGGACCTAATCGAGAAAGCATTTCAAGCATCCGGTCGATCACCCGAGCTGGGCTGCAACCTAGCGGGCTCTATTACAACCTGCCCTTGTGTCAACGGTTGCTAATGCATTGTCCATAGATCTCCAAATATTTAATTATGCGGATCCTACGGGTCTGAGTATAACTTCTATGCAATCTTGACTTAAAAAATTATGCGATTCAGACTTCAAACCTATACAGCAAAGCCACTAAAACACCGCATAGGCAGAGATGCAAGATTGGGCACAAAACCGGTGTCATCGTAGTCTGTGCTTGGACGAGTTGCTACCGGTATTGCCTTGAAGATGCACCAGGTGCAGTTGCGCATGGTTGGACATCTAGGATTTCAGATCTATCTCTACATCTTAGTCATTGGCAGTGTGGCCTGGATCGTACTTCTAACTCAGGCTTCGCAAACGAGCACACCGGGCCTGATAGGTGTTGCCCTCGGGCTTGAAGCTGGTGCAGGACGTCACGTCGGAAAGGTGATTACGTTTTTGGGATCAGCGACATTATGTCGTCGCAGGTGAAGTGGGCGAGATTTGGGTCCTCTGATTAGCTTCGTGGAGAACGTCGGAGACAGATTCGAAGCGGTGGCAGACCTCGACCTCGTCGTCGCTATGGATGTAATTTCGGGCAAACGTCTTTGACCCAGGTCAACTATAGCTCCTTGTCTGAGACTTTTATAAACGGAGTAATGTGTTCCCTTGAGCCTTGAAAACAGCTCATGCGTCTCTGATAAAAGAACAAAGTATGACCTCCTCGGGGTTTAGTTCGTGCCATTTTACACACATCTGCAGTGGGTAGGCTTCGACAACTGCTTGAGATTGAAGGGACGAGGTGGGTGACATCTTGAGATACTGAACCACCCTGGAGCACAGCGAGAGCGCATCCGATGAGACCCGCTTGGACCCATAGATCTAGGCAGTCACGTCGGAGTGGAGATGCCAAGTAAACTTTGCTCGTCTGTTGGTCTCATCAACTGATCATTCTGACCAGCCGCACAGCTCACGAGGAGTCAATCAAGTCCCGCTGGCGCGAGCCTGCTACCAAATTGCGTAGGCTCGGTGATAGCTCGAATCGCCTGCAGAGCTTTTCCCCAATCGTCGGCACGGAGAGCTGGGGGTTTAGATTGCAACAATGCCAATCTGTCGAATAGTTGAATCTCCAGTCCAGTCTTGGAGCCCTTGGCTATTCGGAATTGAACGTACCCTGCCGGCTACTCATCTTAGTCGAACAAGCCGTTGAGATCTTCCCTCGAAACATCTTCGGACAACTGAGCGTTTCTACAAATATTGTCTTGGACCTTTAGCAGTCTTGGGGTACTGGGGTGGGCGGTCAGAAAGAGCTGGGTAGGTCGAAGCACCGTAATTCCGCCTTGCGCAGACCGACTTCGGCTGACTCCATGTGCTCAGTTCACCACCAGCTATAAAGATGCTTCCGCGATTTTTCGCCAGACACGTTGCATCTTCCGACGTATGGATTTCTCCACTTTCATCCGCGCTCTACTCGCAGTGAGTCCTCTACTTGCTCAAATAGCCGTAAACTCGTGCGCGCGCGGGAGGCGACCTCTGAGTGTATTCATGCAGTCTTGCGGGTCTACAAACACGCTCAGCACAGCACTTGCGGCTGGATCCGCGCGAATGAACATTGTGTATCACTTTTTTGAGGGTCTGACAGCGTGGGAGCCCCACATATTCTGTCGTCCGGCCCAGCAACCTGCATCCGTAGAAGCTGTGGGCTCGCTTTGCGCGCTGATATCGCTGTGGGGCTGCGCATTTCTTTTAGTGTACTGCATGGTACACTTCCGCCCGACGCGGCGCAGACTGTGAGTCCATCTGAGTTGTTTTGGTGGAGATCCTGGCTACGAACGCGGGCCCGCCTACTATTTAGGAAGCTGTGCACATTGCTTGAGGGTTTGCGCAAACCTTCTCCTCCCCTGAACCTGACTATCCAGCCTCACGCGTAGCCACGCAAAGACATTGTGACATTCGCAGTGACCTCATCGCCTCAGCATGGACTTCCAACCAACGCCGCCTCAGACTCTTGAGATGATTACTGCTCTAAGGAACAAGCTCACAGAACCTGACGCAAAAACTGCCAAAACCCCACGTCATTTCGACTCCAATCTCAAAAATACTTGCAACGACCCCCGGCGCAATGTCTTGCTCGATACGGGGTTTCAAGCTTGGTTTGCATACTTTGTAGCAGACAAACAGACTCAAGCGGCTGTCGACCAGCTATCAGGCTCGGCGGCTCGAGAAGTGGCCCGCAACATCTGCAGCGTTGAGCTCCATCCAACGGTGGAAGCCCGATTTCAACACATCCTCTATGGGTCTTTTCGTGGCACAGAGCGCCGCTGTAAGGATTAAATCTAAGTCATTTTGATAGCAGTTCGACTTCATTGCTAAGTATTTCCAGCTTTTCTAGTAAAGGGGAGCTACAGCCGCTATCCGGCACGCCAAACAACCCCGCCGGCCAGCACAGCTTCCATCCAAATGGCGTGTTCCAACGAGCCGCTGCTCATGAACGACAACACCCGGAGTGACATCGAACAGCCACATTTTAACGGTTCAAACCTGCCGTCACTAGAAAGCAATGCCGATCAACACAGGCCGCTGCCCCCTTTCTTGTCTAATGTGATGAATCGCCATCATAGTATGGATGGGGGTGTTCAACTAGCGCCACTTGAGGACCACACCCAAGGGAGAAGAGGGTCGCCACCGGAAGATGATCTCCAGTTCGCCATGCCCGAGGCTCCTGTGGACAAACCTAGGGTGTGGGAATCTCCCGACGCAAGAAATATCCCCATGCTCTTCCCAACCCTGATCTGTCCTTCAATTGTGAGATCAGATGGGGCGGCATCCATTCGCGCAATCTTCACAGATGCACCATCGCAATGCAGCCTAGAGATCGATCTTCATTCCACAAAGATACCATATATCGCCTGGGAACTATTCAAAGCACACATTGATATTGAGAATGAGCGGCTTCTGGTAAGATTTGAAAAGGGTGCAAGCATATCAGCTGAGGCATTCACTCTATACGGCGCGGATCGTGAAGCTACCGAATGGCTCTTGGGCAAAATTTTTCCAACTATCAGCGCAGGCCTCCAATATAAGTTGGAGATTGAATGGGGAGAACCAGTAACCCGCCTTGTATCGTTGGAGGTTAGGGGTGATGCTAAGAAACCAAGCTGCCTCAAGGTCCAAAGCGACGAGAAGACCATATCAACCATCGCTGGACAACTTTGGCCAGCTTTTCCATGCATGGCCTTCTAAGGCCATATAACGTTATCATTCAATACAGCTATGTCATGTTCGGAGAGGGTCGTGGACGAAAACGCGCTCCCCAAGACCAACTTCCATTTGAACCTTGGAAGGCTTATTGATCATTCTGCAGGATTTTATATACTTCTGATGCAGAGACCCGTTGAGCCCGGACATGTTCGTAAGCCGCCCGGCTGTGGACCACATGATGAATTTAGAAAGTGACCAGCGCAGTGGAGCCGGGTGGTGTGTCGATGTCTCGATCTTCTAAATTGATGCTCCGACTGCTTGATCTCGGCATGCACTTGGTAAGAGCCCCAGGAGGGTTGCTAACAGGGGGCAAGTTTCGGGGTTCGGGTACGCTCACTTATGTAATTAAACTTAGAGCTCTCAACCCTGTCAGTCGCGCTAGATCCCCAACGACGACCGAGAAATCGCATCCCGCGTCTCATCTCAGCTTGCTGGCAGCCAACATCAGCGCCCAACCCCCCTTCCCTTCCCTCAACTGTGCCAAACCAACCAGGTCGCTTCCAAGCACTGTCTCACATCGATCGCTTGGGTTTCCCTCGCTGCAAACGCCCCTCCAGAGCAAACATGTCTGACGAATGCGACAGTGAGGAGCATTACTACAGTGGCTCCGATGAAGATGACGAGTCCAACGAATCCGACTCTGATGACGCGAACCACGGCCTGCTAGACCTGGAGGCTTCTGAAGGCAGCTCCGACCCAGAGTCTGACGCCGACCAGTACTCAGATGATGGCAGCTACGTCGAGTACAGCTTCCCCAAGTTCATGCAGCTGCCTCCTGAGATCCGCGAAATGGTCTGGGGCGCCTTCTGCCCTGACCTCGGATCGGAGCCGCGCGTGTTTGAGCTCCACCTGCGCACAGTCATCTCTCCCCCGGGCGCCGTCCACCTCCCCAATATAGTGCAAGGCATCGTGGCCGGCCCGCAGCTTGAGAGCCAGACCAAGCCGGTCAGGGCTGTCCTGGCCGTTCACCGTGAAAGCCGGGAGCTGGCACTCAAATCGGCGCCTCATGAGCTCTCGTTGTCAGACGGAGAACTCGTGCATTACCATGAGGAGCGGGACGTCCTGTTTGTTGCATGGACAGAGGAGATCCTTCTCCGCGGAATAGCTCTGCGGTTTCAAGAGCTGGGCATCGAGGCGCAGAATCTCGCCTTTCCATCCGACATAACTTCCGAATACGGCGAGGACCTCGCAGATCTGATGTACTTGCTTCCCCAAACGAGAAGGCTCTTCCTCCTCGATGAGGAGGAGAGTATGCAGGACGAAAGCATGAGTATTCGGGATTATGCCTGGACCGTTGCGGACAAGGTCCACAAATACCACCTTCATGCGGAAGAGGAGTCAGATATTGGGTTCTTGGTTCCTGCCAACCGCATCATTTGTTGGCCTGATCTCGACAATCACCGTGAGTTTGCCGAAGAGCACGTTACGGATCCAGACGGAGATTTTGTGTTGTGGAGTACAGTCAACGACTACCGTCACCGTCTCCGGAACCCTCTCGAGGACTCGCGAGAGCTGAATCAGGATTACCTCTCCGATGAAGAGAAGACTGAAGCCATCGGTCGACTTCGGAGTATCGAGGTTTGGCCCATGGTCAGGTTCAACTTTAGGGAGGGTTTAAATCGATTCAACTACATCGAGACACGGGCCCGGTCCTTTCCAGACCAGATGTCCGAGTCGGAAAGCCCCCGCAACTTCATCCACATCCCGGATGAGTATGAGAGCGATGGGATAGACGACGACCCCATTGATGACTCCACCTCCGTCGATGACTATGACGAGATGCTCGCCCAAAACCTCGCCCAACAATTCTTTCAACCGCATGGATCTTCCGGTCAGCTTGACAACTCTTCTGAAATAGACGAGCTGCCTCCAGCCAATTTTTCAAGTGATGAGGAGCCCGAGGAGCCAGATCAAGTCACATACGTCTCCGACTCGGAGGACGGATCGGCATCGCAGACACGCGCGGCTCGAGCGATGCGGCGGGTAGTGGAATCCGACTCGGAAGGGAGTGCTACAGAGGCACAGTCTCCTCGGCCTTCCAAACGGCGCTCGCGTGCCGCTATTTCGGATTCGGAGGATAATGAAGAGGATTCATCGGATGCAGGGCCAGTGAGAGGAGCCAATCGGCGAGCGAGGGCTATACCAATCGATTCCGAAGATGAAGATGAACAGGACGGTGATGACGCACCTCAGCCCTCCCGCGCTGACCGCAGACGCGGCCGTGTAGTACCTATTGACTCGGATGACGACGATGATGAGGAAGGGTCACAAAAACCATCTGAGGGCAGGAAGTCGCGCCGGCGAGTTGTACAAGAGGGATCCGACAAGGAGGGTGAAGGCGACGACAGCGATTCTCAGGGTGGTGGTGCCAAGACGAAAGAATCTGGCTCTTCCGACGAGGAGGAACAGAGCAGCTCGGACGATGAAGACGATGACCCCCCGCCGCCGAAGCGGATGTCGCTTGCGAAGCGACTCCGCATGGAGAGCAGGCAGGACCAGTCCCGACATGTCGACCACGACTCCTCCGAAGCAGATGGCATGAATGGCGACGGCTACGACTACAGCGATGACCAAGAGGACGAGGTGGACAAGTCAGACACTGAATTGTTCGAGGGCGAGGACGGCGAGAGCGAAGGGGGATACTGATCTTGCAAGGTGTTTGCGGAAGATGGTTTATGAAATTTTGGGACCTCCTGGACACGATTTCTCGGATATACTTCGAAATGTCCAAGGCTTAATCGATGCCTTTAATCAATAGTTGCGCGCCAGACGGCCTGCTCTGCGGTTTCATGGTGCGACACAGCACCAACGACGATGACTTTCTTTAGTTGATGCCCTCGTTGATTCGTGACATTGTCTATCTGCGCCGCTGAGTCTTGTGACAAGTGCTGCCTACATCTGGTCCTGCGTGTGCGCTTTACGTGCGCCCATCCTCATTGTCAACCGAGACTGCTACCCTCACTTTCCAAGTCGCCGTGTCAAGACATCATGTCCACGCCCAAAAAACCCCGAGTCGAGCCTCCCGTGTCTCGCCGCAGCTCACAGCTCGGCCTCGTTCTTGTGGACACCATGCTGGTTGCTGGAGTCGGTCAGGCCAGAGCAGTCGCTGCAGTTGGAGCAGTTGACGAGGTCCTGTCATTAAGAAGTTTGTCAGCAAGATGAACGAAATAGCATTTCATCAAGACGCAATGGAGTGAGGCCGGCGTGGAATTCCACGTCAGCTTCCATCACCTAGAAGCTTGCATATGGAATCATGGTGCGTGCTAATGGATCAAATGGAAAGGGAAAGGGGCAGCAGAAGTCTGAGCTCACAGTGCAGTCAGTGCAGTTGCTGGAGTCGGTACAGTCCTGTCGCCGCTGTTAGCAGGTGTGCGATTAGGGAAGCGCAAGGTCGGTGGCACCCACGTCGCTGTTGTTCATGTTGCTGCAGTTGTTCAGTCGGTTGCATCCAACGCCTGGCGGGAGGGAGAGAAAGTCAGTCAGCAGGTCCTGGATCAGTGTCGCGTTTGGGCGGCGCGGGGGCAGAAGGTGAGGAGGCCTACAGTTGCTGCTGTTCTTGCAGTTATAGCAGTCCGTGAGGTTGCTGCAGTTGGTGTTGCCGTTCGGGTCGGAAGACATGGTGTCACGATGATGGTCGGTGTTTCTGAGTGTGTGTGTGTGTGTGTGTGTGTGTGTGTGTGTGTGTAGGGGGCGAGTCTTGGTGTTGACGTTGACGATTGGGTTAAGTCAGGAAGATGGATGCGGTCAATGGTTTTTTTTGTATTTCAGTTTTTGTTGCCGACCTGTGTGTTGTTCACCTTGGTAGTGGCGCTCTGGATTCACCGCAGCAACGCCGGTTCACTATGGACGGTGGTGGTTTGGCCCGTCTGACACGCACATTCACTTGTGCTTCGCGTATGATGACGACATGCCACACCACCACATTGACGGCTGTGAGAGACCAGCGGCACGGTCGATTGGTGGGATTGGTAGATAACGAAATAGACCGTTTTCTGGAAGGATTCTCGTCTGCCAGCCCAATTGAGTATTTGACGAATGAAGCTGTGGCCCTATCACCACTTGGTCTTGGACTATCTGGACACTGCAGGAGACGGTGTAACATGGAACGCGGGACGTTAAGGTGGCAATCATTGTACTGGACGACCCTCGCTGATACTTGTCAGGCTCAAGCCTTTCATCTTCCCAACGGCGTATTCATTACGGCCAATGAGCGGCTTGGACTAAGCTGAGGGATTACTTTCCAAGCTTGTCTAGGTAGCTCTGGTCGACCGAAAGCGACCACCCGCATCGAAGTTCCGGAGAGTTTGATCCTTGGCCGCTGCCACTTGTAAATCACTCCCAGAATGCTCTCGGCCGATTTGCACCAGTGCAGCAAAGCCTCGAGAATGCGTTATTCTTTCAAATTTCCTTGAGCTTTTCTTTGCGCTGGCGAGGCATGATGAACAATTCGATTGAAAGGGGGTAGTATCGATCATCGTCAATGCACATCATGGCGATGAAACTCGCACGGCCGGAATAAGGGCTCTTGGGAACTTCCGACGTCGGTCAGACATTCAGGGAGACGCGGCCCTCCGGCGGGATGCAAGCGGACTTGTGGTTCTTCCAATGAGCTCTCTGGCAGGCCTAGGAAAGGAGAACAGATCAGCTAAAGTCCTGCCACAGCACAATCGAAATGGACATCCAACCCACCATGTTGCAGTACCAGGCTCTCTTGCACTTTGAGCACTGGGAGGGTGTCGCCTCGCCATTGTCTGCGGCAATCTTGCCACAGCTGAAGCAGCTGCCCATGGTTAGCAAGTTGATGATTATGTGTGTACACAACAGCACTGACCTTGGCTCTTGAAAGCTTCGAGGCACGCCGGGCTTGTAGTTCTCGAGCGCGGCAAGGAATTGCACCTTGCCAGGATGCCGGAAGCCCTTGTCACCGCCATTGAGGTCGGCTGCCAACAGCGCCACGACGCCAGGGTTGCTTCGCAGCACAGGATTCAAGCCATCGCGGCACGGAATCTCGCGGACAAGTTCACGGAGATGGTTGAAGTCATTGCCATTGATCACGGCCCCAGCTCGCATCATGATGGCGCCGACAAGGATGACTCGGTACTTGCCTTCGGGCTCGTGCTCTCTCTTGCGGAAGATCTTGAAGAGCTCGTCGCCGATTCCGCTATTGAGAGTGTTGCGGCGATCGGAAACAATGCCCTCGAGCTTCTTCTTGTACTCTTCCGTCTCGTAGTAAGCTCTTATATCGTGGGGACAGCACATGTCTGTCTGGTGGATCATACTGGAGAGATGGAGGTCCATGTCGTCGCTGTCGCCAAGGGCGCGATTGATCTCCAGAGCAATATCCAAATCCCGATCGCCCTCGAAAAGGCGCATCCCCCAGCGACCCATTTCGTTTGCAGCTGTCTCCAGCTGGTCGAGCTACAAAATTGGGATGGCTGGATGGCACGAGACCGGGAGGAGGGCTGGGCACACGATCGTAGGGATTGGTCAAGTAGATGGAAGAAGAATCATCAAGGACACATCGAGTTTTCGTTCCTTTAAAGACCAGGTACGGCCGTTGGGACGGTGGGCAAAAAGAGGCTGATATCGCTGCTTCTTGACACTTGCACCAGATCAGATGCGTGACCTCAGGCAAGCAGCTGGACAAAGGACTCGCCTCAGCCACCAGCAACCATTGATCTGGCACTGCTCGACCGCAAGGACAGGCAACAGTGGGCATACTTGCAGTAAGGTAGCTTCGTACCAACTTTGGGTGGCAGGTACCTAGGTACTTGGGCACGTCCCTCGCTCCTCTTCCTTCCTTGCCTCCTTCCTTCCTAGAGCAGATCTCTCGTCCATATCAACTGACAATGCAGCTGCCCTTGCACCCTTGGGTTGATGGTCTAGCGACAAACGCGATACCATCCTCTGATAAAATTTCAGATGAAAATCAGGTTAGCAACCTGAAGACCAGCAGTTCGAACTTCGGGGGCGCCCGAGGGATAAGGACGCTGTGTCATAGACAGGATGCACTCGGTGATCACCCTGAGTGCAGAAGTCTTTGCCATTTCTTTCTCCTGTGTTGTCTTTTTGGCTGCCGTTTACGCATCAGGGAAGTCAAATTTCTCCATCCGTCATGATACAGCGTACTGTGTAGCCCGTCCAGTTACTGGGTGCTATGCTACAGCTCTGCTCCCTGAACATTGACAAACCTAACCTTCTCAGCATCGCCGCCCAAAATGCTCTTACTGGTCGCCAGTCCATCAGCATCCCACTCAAAGTCTACCGCAATGCCTCCCCTGATTCGAAGGCCCTCGACACTGCCTCCTCCCCAGGCACTCGGGATCGCTGGGCCCAGTACCACCGTCCTCGTCTCCTCTTCCCTACCGTTTGGCAGAGGCAAGTCCACCACTAACATGCTCAAGACATTGCCCGCCCACCCGAAATTCATGTCGATCTGGAACGGCGGGTTCTTGCCACTGTACATGCTCAGCAAGTTTGGCGCAACGTTGTTCAGCAGAGTCAGCTGCAGCTCCTCATGAGCCTTGGAGGAATCATTCAGCCTTGCCCAGCACGCGCCGCGCCAGACCTTGGGCCACCCATAGTTGCCGCCGTTGCCGTCCGCACTGGTGCCGTCTCCTCTTTCGATGAGGCTCGCCCGGACGGCTTCCTGTAGGGTCTTGTTGCTGTAGCCGTCGGAGAAGCCGGAGATGGTGTTCCCGGGATACCATCCGACGAGGTGGGAGATGTGGCGATGCTGGGGGTAGATGTTGAACAGGTATGAGTCGGGAACTTTCCACTCCTTCAGGACGCCGGTGCCGTACGTGGTATCAGGATCGACGTGGATACCGGTGTCGAGAGAGGAGAGTGTGTCGGATACGGATTTCAGGAAGTCTGTGTCTGATTCCGAGGCAAGCGATGCAGTGCTGAGGACGGCCTCAAGCAGTTGGTGGATCAGCTGCTGGTAGTGAGTGCACCCAAATGTCGTGGGACCTTGTTCGGCGCTGTTGCATGGGTTGGCAACCAGTGTGTTGTCGTTGAAGAAGCGATCTTCCTGTAGCTGTGAGACCCAGAAGGATGCGACGCCTTTGAGAAGAGGGTATCCTGTCTCTGCAAGCCAAGTGATATTGCGGTCGTAATCCCAGTGGTCGAAGACATGTAACATCATCCAGACTGCTGAGGCGGGATCTGGGATCGAGAGATCAGTGCGAGCTCATGGATGACATATAATAGGATAAAAGACTTACAGTTCGCCCATTGAGCATCGTTCTTCATTCCAGTGTACCCAAAGATATTCATCTCATTATGCACTACCCATCCAGAGCCATTGTACAGGAGCCGCGCTGTCTCGCTTCCTCTCGGAGCCCAGTTCTGGGCCATGTACTCAAAAGCCGGTCTTGAAAGGGAGGTCAGTCCGGTTGCGTCAGCTCCCCAGTAGTTCATCTGGATGTTGATATTTGCGTGATAATCTGCGCTCCAAGCTGGGCTGGTTTGCTCGGTCCAGCGTCCTTGTAGATTCGCAGGAAGCGACTCTTCCCTGGACGATGATACAAGAAGGTGTCGTGAATAGTCGAACATGAGGGACTCCAAGAAGGGATCGGCAGTGCCTTTCGCATAACGTGCCACAAGCTCAGACGTCTCGATGGTGGAGGAACCAGCAGTGTCTGGAATGCTCAAATTAAAAAGACCCATCAATGACGAATAATCTTGGATGTGATCGGTGAGTAAATCCTCATACGACCGGGCCGCAGCAAGAGCTGTCGTCGCCTCCACTACCGGGCCAGGATCTTCGCCTCTGAACGAGTAGTTGCTCTCCGCATTGCCTTTGGTCTGGTCAAAGTCCGAATCTGCAGAAAGAACGACTGTGACAGTCCTTTGACCCGCCGCCGGGGTGATCGTGAGGGATCCTGTCTCCGAGCATGATGAGCTGAGGTTGCCTGTCACTCTAGCAATTGAGTCAAATTGTAGTCCGATCTCTTGCTGCGTGATTCCCCTCAAGCGTGTGTACCCAGTACCGCAGGTGACGTTGGTCAGGTCAGCGCTCATCAAACCATTTCCGATAGAGATTGTGACAGCAGGAAGGCTGGAATCTCCAGAAAGGCTGTAGACACAGCTCTTTGCTGGGTAAGAGCAGAACACAGTGGTCTCAAAGGCATTTTCACTCGTACTCCACGAGGTTGTGTGTACTCCTGTGTCGAGATCGAGCTTTCGCGTATAATTGCTGTAATCGCCTACGCCTTCAAAGCTGACGGTAAGATTGCCTAGGGTCTGGTAGGACCCATAGTTGGTTATGGGCGCCAGGAGCTCCGAGATATTTCCCGTGCCATTCTGAAATATCCAATCGCGTATGCCAGGCAGGTATTGGTGGACAGGCCCCGGGGGGTTGCCTCCGGTGTAAGTCTGGGATGAGTCAGAAAGTGCCACGCTTCGAGGCTGTGCTGATGTCTGGACGCACCGAGTTCTCGAATGGTCCGCCAGACCACAAGGAGTCCAGATTCAAAATAAGGCTTTCCGTACCAGGAGGGCCAAACGGTATGGCTGCACATAACACGTCAGTAAATTGTAACAAAGCACCAGATTTGTTGACCGAAACACCTAGACGAACCTCCTAATTTGCCATTGCCGATTAGGTAGCCTGTCTTCAGGATGTAGTCGTCGCCTTCGCCGTACGTGGCTGGCGAGGTCGACCACAGTGATTTCCCTGCTGGCAGGGAGGGGCCGAAAGCCAGTGTAAGCAGTCCAAGTTTCCATGAGCGAATCATCGTGTGGTTATTCGAGTTCGGCGTGGCCGCAGGATCCACTGGTAGAAGGGCCGAAGGACTGCGTTTTGAGCTGGCCGGGGTGCGAGATCGGCTATTGACGCAGTGCGACCATAATAAGCTCCCAAAAGAAATGACGAGGGCATCGGGAGTCTACATATACACAACATGCAAGTAGATCCGGCAGCATCTTCGCCGCGTCTTCGCGCCGCGCCGAGGCCCAGGCCTATAATGCTACGCTGCTGTGATTCTATTCTGCATTTAGCTAGGAGCCCAGAGCAATTTGCCTTGGACTTCGAGGGGGTTCAGCATTTCTCCCCTCGTTTCGGCCCGGAGCCCCCGCATCCATGGAGAAATATTGCTGGGCTTTTCGCGTCAACATTGACGAATTACCCCGACGGGATCAAAAATCTCGAGTATAACAATTATCCGATATGGCACCTCGGTAATACTAGCCTAACAGTTTGCCAGCATGCGCAAGCACGACAACAGGACATTGTGGACGGCTTGTACCTACCTGGGCAACAAACTCGAAATCAGCTGCCGCTATTTGCAGCATTGGAGGTCACAAGCCCGCTGCACAGCGAGTACAATGTCGCCACAGAGCACTTTGCCTTATTTCATAATGGCGCCATTGGAAACGTGCATCAAGAATCGGGACATGCCGCGCAGGACGAGAATATCATGGTCCATGTTTGGTGAACATACCATTCTTGAGTGGAAGAGGGGTTGAGATAACCACTGCTCGGCTATCGGTCTGGATGCAGCGAAGGCGCGCGAGCATGCATAAATAGCAGATTCGACTTAGCATCGCTCCTTCAAGACTGCGTGTCGTATCCGTATATGCACAAATAGTGCAGCGCAATGCAGGGGCGCAGTCCCAACAGCATGCATGCACCAAGCAGGTGTCTAGGTAGTAATCATACTACCAGATTAAGTGTTGAGGCGGAAATAAGCTTACGGGAGCTTGCATTGCACAAGTCGAGCTAGAGATACGGACGAAGCTGAAATGCCCACCACGGATCGATGGGCAAAACTGATTGTGGACTGATTACACCCGTTCGCTTGAGCAACAGGGCAGTGCTGAGTAGGTCAATCCTACAGTGATGTTGTCGCTTGAGCCTGAGTCCAGGGTAGCTGAATCCTATCCAAAAATTACTTCACGCCACCGCATGATGACCTCGTATCGTAAAGTATAAGAATGCGTTCATCTCCCAACAATTCCATGGAGAGCAGCCTACTTGATCGAGCAAAAATACAATAACTCGGTCACACAAGTTCAACTCTGAAGGTCATTATTTCTGTCTACAGACCTATATCCAACTTCTTCACCTATTTCAAACAAACAAGCACCATGCGTTTCTTCAGCACAATCCTCAACCTTGCCGTGGCGGCCAGCTTCTCCAGCGCCATGCCCGTCGACTCGGCCGCCTCGGATGTCCCGGCAGCGACAGCGCCAGTCGACTGGTACCAGGGCGTAGTAACCTTCTCTGGCACTTCCGCAGTGATCGAAGCGAGCGCGTCATGTGGTACCAAGGTCAGCAGCGGTACCATCACAGCCGATGGGTGCAAGAAGCTCTCCACATACGCATTCGGCGTCCACCACACAGACAAGGTCTGCAACTACAGGCTGTGGAAGGGCAAGACGGACTGCTCCGGTGACGACTACACGGACATCCCTATTCCCGCGGGTTCCGACGTGACCTGCATCAATGACGGTGTTCTGGACGGTGGCAGGTTCTACTTGGCTTCTGGTATCTACTCGTGTGAATGAAGGATTGAGCTGGCACAATTTGGGATTTGAGAAAGTTCTTCAGGCGTAAGGATATGAAGGCTACATGGACAACAGAAAACACGTACGCTGGGCTGGGTATAGACATTAGACACCTAAAATGACCACCTTGAGAAGGAGTGAGGTGTGATAAACACTCCATAATATGATCACTACCTCAGACTTGCGCTAAATCGTTCAAATACCATGATTGCCTATCTACTCAGGTGGATCTGCACATTTTGCACCTGCTCTGTATGTTTGTGCCACTCTGTGTCGACTTCTTGACAACGACCGCCGGAGAAACCGGCCCTTGTATCGGAATGGGAAAGCCGAAGGTGACAATAAATGCGTGATCTGTACTGCTCTTTCAAAACTGCACACGGATTTGTAGTCTTCAAGGTCAGTGAAACAGGGATATACGAGGATTTGCGTGAGACTGAAGTCAATGGACGCGCCCGTGAAACATCAGAGAAGCCATGCAGGATTTGCTTTCGTCGCGAAGAGCCTGCTAATTTGTCAAAGCGCCAAGGGAGGTCACCGATATTGACTGGTGCAATCCAACTCTATTCATCCCGGAATACACCCTCTCAATCACCAGTCAATATCTCTATGCAAAAGGCCAAATGTGGGCCACTGGGTATTGAGTTCAGAAAATCGGAGTGGTTGTAATATACCCCGTCTTTTTTTCTAGATCCAGTCTATATGTCAAAAAATTCGCCTCTGATCAGCGTACTGTGAAAGTCGCCAGAATAATCGGAAGGAAGACCCCCACCCCCACGAAAAAGGCTGCCCAGGATATGACTGCCCGGGTCTTCCTGCCCCAGCCTGCAGCCATTGCGAAGCTCATGGTCAGGATCACAATGATATTCCCAAGGAGCCAGATGCAGCTGGCTAAGGCGCACACGAAGGCAAATATCCAGAGCTTATTGGTCTTTACCCACTTCCAAGCACTTCTCCGGAAGCTGGTTCCCTTGTCGAGGGAGAGTGCTTGTATTTCGACTCTGCCACCTTTCAGTTGCTCATTGGCGTATCTTCCCAGCTCTTTATTAGTCAGGGACTCTGCTTCCTGGTCGACTTGCTTCAAGTCAGCCCGTAACGAGTCTGCAAGACACAGGGCAGCCTTGAACTCTCGAGGCACTTCGTATCTGCCCCTGTTCGAAAGTTCATGATGGGCAAGGAGCCACATGATCCATATTCCGAACGTCCAGACGGTCAGGAGAACCAGGGTGGTTTCCAGCTGGACCACCGAAAAGCCCCATTGGTATGTTTGTTGAGAATTGTCCATGACGGGTTGGCAGACTGCATTTTTCTGGAGGTAGTCCAAGTGATAGAGTCTGCCATCGCCTGAGGGATAGAGGAATGCAGCGTTGCCTCTCTTACCACTCCAATGCGTGATGTTGAGCGTTGGGCTTGGGAGGGGAATGGTACCATCAGAATCGCCCCGTTGCCAGGTCGAATTCGTGTCGTTCATACTGCCATACGTTGAAAAGTCTGAAATGCACCATTAGTCTTGTCATGGTGAACCAAACAACACTTGCAGGCTAACTTACATCTGTCAACGCAACCATAATAACCACATGTCTCGAGCTGGTTTTGGGGCGAGCCCTTGAATACAATGTACTCAGCGGTGAGGTTTACTCTGTCTCCGTCGTGAATGATTGCGACGAGCTGGCGGAATTTCCCGAAAGGCGTCTGGGTGCCGTTGCCGAACTTGATGACCGCTTCATTGTTGGCTGTATAACCGGTCATTGCGCCGGCGAGTGTCGGGAAGACCATGACAAAGACCATCGTGATGATCATGAAAGCCATTGCCAATTTTGACCTAAGCCCCCTCCTCGAGGCAAAGTCCCGGATCAAGCGAACGACGGTCAACAAGGAGGCATCACTCCGCATGAAGCTTGTCCAGAATGTGCGGTATGTTACGGGGGCAGTCTCCATGGACGCCCTAACGTAGACAGAGAACGACTTCCACGAGAAGTAGGCCAACAAGCTCTGCCCCAAGCGACCAACTCCCTGAAACAGTTTTAGTATTGGGCCCGACCGTAAGTGCCGATTGAGGATTGAAGCAACTCACGACATCCCACACAATGTCCACGACTTTGGCCTGCGAGAAACTCAGTGAGCCAAAAGCCAGGACAATTTGGAATGTCCAGTCTGGGTTCCAAGGATTCGGGGGGTCCAGGCTGAAGGTGCCATCAGGAGCGCAATAGTTCCAGTACTCGGAGCTCTCCAGGGATATCGTTTCCATGATGCTTAGTGGGAAGACGAGGCAGAGTACTACCAAACCCAGCGCCCAGATGGTGAACCCCAGCCACGTGAAAAACGATGCCGCGGTGTGGCGCCACCTTGTAGACTTCAAGTCGTGTCGGAGTTCATTTCGTGTCTCGGTCCACAGCGTTCCAATATGCAAGGTTGTTCTCTTCTTCAGACTGAGTGTGTCATTGGCCTGTAAGGCAGTCTCCCCGGTGAGTAATGGTTCTATATCAGCGGACTTGGCCATTGTGAAATTCGATCTGCCGACGATGTTTTCATAACAAACAGTTCGAATGTTGGCCTTTTGGCCCAGAAAAGCCAAAGGCTGGATGTTGCACCGGACATATTCAGGGCAATTTTGCTTGGCATCTTGTAGAACTTGAAAAGCTGAAGACAGCGTGAGATGGTGGCTGACATGTGTCGCAGATCTCAAGTGTCCCTTGCCGCATGAATCCTTCGCGTCGGTTGTTGTATGCAGGCAACCGCCGATGATGGCGCAGGTCTCGACATGGGTCTTTCGGAGCTGAAGCGCTCCTTTGACGACCACCGGACCAACCACTTTCGACAGATGCCAGATGACAGATGACGCGCGATCGGCCAGGTTGCAGACCGGTAACCCCGGAGCGGAGCGGCGGCTACAGATATAGTTGGACGCATCTTTTGTGTTCTTTAAAATAGATTTCAATGCTGGCTTTTGGAGGATACATACCTGGTAGTCCATGGTTGGCATGTAGGTGGCGGATTGAGAATTCGCCTCTCATCAACACTTCACTGGCATAAGCAAAGCGAAGATGAGATGAGATTATGATGCAGCAAACCTTGGTTCCTCGTCTTCCATTCCACTGAACAGATCTTCCCGGGATGTTCCACCATCCTGGGTGCCCTTTTCAAAATCAAAGCCCCTCACCAAGGCCCCCTGCAGCGACTCTCACGCACTCACACCCAACGGTTTCCCTCTCACAGTCCTCGTCGAGACGTCCGGTTATACGGGCAGCGACAAGTTTATGTATGCGGGCCTGGTGGCTTGCTTGAGACTCCACCTCGAGGTACAAGCAAGAGGCATTCCACATTCGTTATCTGATTTGTGGGCCGTGGCAGCCAGCTTTGGACGTAAGGTGAACACGACAGTTCACCGTCCCCACTGCCCGCCAAGGCCCTGTTGATCAAACGGTGAAGCGGTGGGGAGTGCATCGACAACCAGTGCTACTACAGGAAGTTAAGTGACTGCAATGCTTGTATGCTCAATGTGTAGCTAGGCGTGGATTAATCCAAGATTTGTTGCCTTCAGGCGTGAATCCTGGATGGCGATGCAGAGATGGACATCAAGGTGTGTGCACTTGCTCGTGCCAGGAGAGTAAATGCCAGGTACGTGCTCGTGCCTGTGCAGGCTGGGCATCGTCTTGCTCGAGTCAACGGCGCCCGGTAGTTGTAACAGACCTCAGAGCTTACTCTCATATGCAATCAATCGTATTAAAATGGCGCTAATGGCCTGCACATAACATACTATATCAAAAATCGTATATACTTATTATATTATGCCCTTTTTAACTATTAATTATAATTACTTATCCTATAACCCTTATAATATTATACTTTTTACTATATTATATATTTTAATTTTTATAAATTAATTTATAATAATTTTATAATTATATCTTATTACTTAATTCTTTTAAAGCTTTATATAACTTAAAAGCTATTAAATATTAATTAAGTAAATAATGTTATTATTATAAGGATTATAAAGTACTTTAAAATATAAATTTATAAGCTAAAGAAAAATTTAATAATTAATATAATTATTAAGCTAAACAACTTATATAAAATTATTTAATTAATTAACTTTTATTATAATATATATAATTTAAATTTTAAATATTTATTTTTTTAATATATGTTTTTATTATTTAAGCCTTTCTTAATTATCTTGCTTTAAAAAATAATTTATATTAAGATAAAATATAATAATAATTATTAAATAACTTTAATTTATTTATTTTATAAAGCATTATTAATTAAATATTTAAAGGAATTAAATAAAATAAAAAGATTATAAATATAATTATTATTTAATAAGATTATTTTATTTAAGTTAATTAAATTATTAAAACTTAAAAACTTTATATAAATTAATTTATTTTTATTAATAAATTTAAGATAAATAAAAGAAGTAAGTTATAATATATAAAATAATTATTAAAGGGCATTAAGCTAAAGAACCTTATATTTAATGGTAATAAAGATTATAATATATAATATTAAATGCTTTTAATATTATAATTATAAGTATATTTAATTTATTTATATATAAAGGTAATATAAATAATTAAAGCTTTATTAATTTTATTAAAAATAAAGTTTTGCTTAAAATATTATTATTTTTAAGGCTTAACTTAATGTTAATAATAAATAATATTAATTTTTACTTTTATAATAATCTTTAATAAATATATAATTAAATTAATATTTAGCTTAAATATTTATCTTTATATTTACTTAATCTTAACTTAATTAAAATATTTTTTAATAATTTAAAAAAATATATTTATTATTACTTTTAATATTTTAAAAATTAATAATATATATAAAAAGATTAATAATAATTTTTAATTAATTTAATATATAAGGTTGCTTTAAATATAAAAGTAATTTAAGGTTATTTTTAAAAAGCTATAATTTTTAAATTAAAGCAAGCTTAAGTTAATTAAATAATTAATTAATTATATACTTTAATATATATATTAATAACATATATATTTTTTAACCTTTAATTATTATTATAAAAATTATAATAAATAAATAATTTAAAGGTTTTTAATAATATATATTATTATATATATTAATTAATTATATTATAATGCCTTAATTATAAATTATTATATATTAATAATTATATAACTTTTATAAATAAAAAGTATATTATAAAAAAAAGTTTATTTAAATAAGTAAAATATATAATAAGCTTAAGCTATTGCTTAAGCTATAATGCATACCCATGCCAAACTTATACTATACCCAACCCTTTTACATAATAGGGTATATACTTAAAAAATAAATTTAAAGTTAAGCCTTTTTAAGGCTTAACTTACTTTTTAAATATTATAATTTATAACTCCTTTTAAATATCTTTTAATAAATACTTAAGGTTAACTTATAATATTAAATTATAATCTTTAAATTATATTAAGAAGAATATTTATATTATAAAGGTAAATAACCTTATACTTAAGATATTAACCTTTTTATAAAATATATAACTAAGGATTTCTTAATTTACTTTAATATTAAGCTATAAAAATACTTAGAAAGCACCTTAACTCCCTTAATTATTTATAATAATGCTTATTAATGCTAATAATAATACCATTATATCTTTCTTTATAATAATACTTTATTAATTTATAAAGCTTAAAATATATATAAACCCTTTTAACTTATTCTTAATTTAATATAAATTGCTTTTAATTAAGCCCTTATTTAATAATAGCTAAAATAGCTTTTTAGCTTAAAAAATTATAATATAATATAAGCTATAAATTAATATAAACTTTATTAAAAGTTTTTAAAAATATTAAATCTTTTTATAAAATTAATTATTTATTAAGATATAATTATATATTATAATATTTTATAAGTAAAATAAGTTTTAAAATAGCTTTAATATAAATAAATTCTTTAAATATTTAAAGCATTATTATAAAAACTTATATTAATAAGTAGCTATTTTAATTAAGCTTAAGATATTTTAAATATAAAATTATAATAGTTTTGCTTAATTTTATATTTAGTTTAAATAGCTAATAATATAAGCTAAAAGCTTTAAGTAATTAAGTAAAATAAAGTTAAATTACTTTTATAATTAATTTTTTTTATAACTTTATAATAAGGTTATTAAGGCATTAATTTTATATATAAATTATAATAAAGTAATAAATATATATTATTAAATTATTTATAAATTAAAGGCATAAAACCTTAAGCATTAATAATATATAAGCTTAACCTTATGCTTTTTAAAGCTTTTAACTTAAAGATAATAAGTAATAAGTTAAGATATAATAATAATAAATATAGTTATAATAAGTATAATAAAGAGCTAAGGTATTAAAAATAAGGAATTATAAGGGTATTAAAATGCTTTTTCTTCTTAATTAATTAATAATTAAGTTAAAGTACCTTAAATTTTTAAGTTTAAAAGGAAGGCTTAACAAAGGTATAAAACATGCTTATATTATAATTAATAAGGGTACTTTATAATAAATTATAAACTCTTTTTTATAGCTATATTAACTTAAGTTTAAATTATAAAGCTAATTATACTTTATAAAAAGGATTTTATTAACTTTAAAGGAAAAGATTAATTTTTAAGCAAAGTTTTATTTAAAAGTATAAGCTTTTTTTATAAGCTTAATTTATATAAAAATAATATTAATAAATATAAAATAAATTAAATAAGCTTCCTTTTTTAATTCTTATTATTATAAATTATAAGCATATTATTATTACTTAAATAAATAATAAGTATAATTATTATATTATTATAAATAAGTAATAAATATAAAAAATAAAATTAAAGTTAATAGCTTTATTTATTTTAAAAAACTTAAAAATAATTATTAATTTATTATAAAGTTAATATATTATATATATAATATAGCTTTTTTTAAATATTAATATATAATAAGCCCTTATTTTAGCTTATATAATTTTAAGTATAACTTATCTTTTTTTATTAAGCTTGCCTTAATTATATTATTATAATATCTTATTAAACTTAGCTTATAATTATATAATAATTAGCATAGCTTAAGAAATAATTATAAAAAAAAAGGGCTAATAAAATATAAGTAATTTAGCTTAATTAATCTTTAAGATAATTGCAAAGGCATAAATAAATTATTTATTTTATAATAAAATAATAAATATTACCTTAATAAAAATAAGCTTAAATAAGATTATATAAATCTTTTAAATTATAGCTCCTTAAAAAAAATAATAATAATATAAAGCAATATAAAGTTAAGCCTTTATTAAAAAAGGTATAAAACTTTATTAACTTTTTTAATAAGGATTAAGTTTTTATTCTTTTATTATATTAAAGTTAATTTAATTATTATATTTACTTATTATTAATAAAGAATAAATTTGCATTAATATTATTATAAGGCTTATTATATAATATATCTTAAAATTAGCTACTTAAGCTATAAAAATAAGTTATAAAACTTTATAATAAAGGTTAAGTAA